TATTTATTGCGTGTGGGTATACAGTATTTGTCAGCCTATGATGTCACTATGTCTGTTTTTAACGTCAACGTGTATTATGTCTGTCTTTATATACATCTGTGTGCCTGCCTAAGTGTATTACTGTGTGTGTGTGTCTCCGTGTCTGTCTAGGTGTGTGTGTGCATCACTGTGAACACTCAGGTGTGTGTGTGTGTGTGTGTGTGTGTGTTGACTGGAGAGAGGAGGGAGGTGAGGGATGGAGGGGGGGATTACACTGCACCACACTGTTCAAACTGTTTATGCATACCAGTCTGCTCTGAGGGGCTCTCTGTCACACTCTGTTTACACAAACTTATTTTGGGAAAATTCCACAGAGCTGGACAGGCCCTGGCCATAAATCACAGAATCTGCAGCTTTGTGGAATGATAGCTTCTGTCATTCACACACTCATCAACACACACACTATTTCTCTCCTCAAACCATAACAGAGTGTGTGTAAGTGGCAGAGGGCACTGTGTATGTGTGAGAAAATGTGAATTGCATATGTGTAAGTGTGTGTGTGTGTGTTGAGATAGAGTTAAATTGCATAATGTGTGTGCGTGCACACACAGGTAATATACTGTGTTGTCTAGGTAATATATTGTGTTGTCTAGGTAATATATTGTGTTGTCTAGGTAATATATTGTGTTGTCTAGGTAATATATTGTGTTGTCTAGGTAATATATTGTGTTGTCTAGGTAATATACTGTGTTGTCTAGGTAATATACTGTGTTGTCTAGGTAATATATTGTGTTGTCTAGGTAATATATTGTGTTGTCTAGGTAATATACTGTGTTGTCTAGGTAATATATTGTGTTGTCTAGGTAATATATTGTGTTGTCTAGGTAATATATTGTGTTGTCTAGGTAATATACTGTGTTGTCTAGGTAATATATTGTGTTGTCTAGGTAATATATTGTGTTGTCTAGGTAATATATTGTGTTGTCTAAGTAATATACTGGGTTGTCTAGGTAATATACTGGGTTGTCTAGGTAATATACTGGGTTGTCTAGGTAATATACAGTGCCTAGTGAAAGTCTACACATCCCTTGCAATTTCGAAAATGTTTTATGCTTTCTTTTTCACTTTGAAAAAGTGATGCAGGTTCTGAGAATCTTTTGAATGGTTTAAGCTACAAAATAATATGTATGACCCCATCACTGAAAGATAAGACTCTCAAGAACACATACGTACAGTTGAAGTCAGAAGTTTACATACACCTTAGCCAAATACATTTAAACTCAGTTTTTCACAATTCCTGACATTTAATTAGGATCACCACTTTATTTTAAGAATGTGAAATGTCAGAATAATAGTAGAGAGAATGATTTATTTCAGCTTTTATTTCTTTCATCACATTCCCAGTGGGTCAGAAGTTTACATACACTCAATTAGTATTTGGTAGCATTGCCTTTAAATTGTTTAACTTGGGTCAAACGTTTCGGGTTGCCTTCCACAAGCTTCCCACAATAAGTTAGGTGAATTTTGGCCCATTCCTCCTGACAGAGCTGATGTAACTGAGTCAGGTTTGTAGGCCTCCTTGCTCGCACACGCTTTTTCAGTTCTGCCCACACATTTTCTATAGGATTGAGGTCAGGGCTTTGTGATGGCCACTCCAATACCTTGACTTTGTTGTCCTTAAGCCATTTTGCCACAACTTTGGAAGTATGCTTGGGGTCATTGTCCATTTGGAAGACCCATTTGCGACCAAGCTTTAACTTCCTGACTGATGTCTTGAGATGTTGCTTCAATATATCCACATAATTTCCTTCCTCATGATGTCATCTATTTTGTGAAGTGCACCAGTCCCACCTGCAGCAAAGCACCCCCACAGCATGATGCTTCCACCCCCGTGCTTCACGGTTGGGATGGTGTTCTTCGGCTTGCAAGCACCCCCTTTTTCCTCCAAACATAACGATGGTCATTATGGCCCAAAAGTTCTATTTTTGTTTCATCAGGCCAGAGGACATGTGCAGTTGCAAACCGTATTCTGGCTTTTTTATGGTGGTTTTGGAGCAGTGGCTTCTTCCTTGCTGAGCGGCCTTTCAGGTTATGTCGATATAGGACTTGTTTTACTGTGGATATAGATACTTTTGTACCTGTTTCCTCCAGCATCTTCACAATGTCCTTTGCTGTTGTTCTGGGATTGATTTGCACATTTCGCACCAAAGTCTGTTCATCTCTAGGAGACAGAACGCGTCTCCTTCCTGAGCGGTATGACGGCTGCGTGGTCCCATGGTGTTTATACTTGCGTACTATTGTTTGTACAGATGAACATGGTACCTTCAGGCGTTTGGAAATTGCTCCCAAAGATGAACCAGACTTGTGGAGGTCTAAAAAAAATGTTGGCTGAGGTCTTGGCTGATTTCTTTTGATTTTCCTATGATGTCAAGCAAAGAGGCACTGAGTTTGAAGGTAGGCCTTGAAATACAGCCACAGGTACACCTCCAATTGACTCAAATGATGTCAATTATCTTATCAGAAGCTTCTAAAGCCATGACATCATTTTCTGGAATTTTCCAAGCTGTTTAAAGGCACAGTGAACTTAGTGTATCTAAACTTCTGACCCACTGGAATTGTGATACAGTGACTTATAAGTGAAATAATCTGTCTGTAAACAATTGTTGGAAAAATGACTTGTGTCATGCACAAAGTAGACGTCCTAACAGACTTGCCAAAACTATAGTTTGTTAACAGGAAATTTGTGGAGTGGTTGAAAAACGACTTTTAATGACTCCAACCTAAGTGTATGTAAATTTCCGACTTCAACTGTACATACTGTTTCCCTTTACTATGCCCATAAGCCGTTAGAACTGAGTGGACAAGACAAATCACTAAATCAGACTGGGGGGAAAAGAACATAATGATGATGTTATTTTCTACACAGAAGATCACACAACATTATTGCCTGATGATTTTCTGAACTTCCCAATACCTTTCTGATGCATTTCAGTCAGTTCAAACCATACTGTCTTCAGATTGAAATACTGTCCAAAATACTGTCAGACTGATTTGTAATAGACTGTCATAGCCCAGATTTAAAAAGTAAACATTGGCTGTTGATGACATTATTATTATTTTTTAACATGATGGGGTCGTGTGAAAAGAATTGCTAGCAAAATGGGGTCGTGGGCCAATAACGTTTGGGATCCCCTTGTCTACTGCTTGGGTATGATACAGTGCACTGGGAGACGCAGGGGTTTGGTGTGATATTGCCATACACCAGTGACATCTGCTGGTAGCTTTGTGAACTGTGCTTCCAAACACATCTGGGGGACAGCCAACTTGGAAGATGTGTACAGAGAAGAGGCAAAGCGAGAGGTTTTACTCCACCCAAAATCTGCCCACGAAATGTATGTCAATGAGTGTCGAAATTGGTCTACCATTTTTTTTTTTGCGCTAATTTGCTAGGTGAGAGGCTTATTTGATAGAACAGAAGTTTTGTAATGGTTAGGTTGTTACGAATGTGCTGATATGAGTGGAACGCACGTGGCATTTCGTCAACTTGGAAAATAAAAATGTATTTCCATCGTTAGAGCGGTCACTCGAATATCTTGTCAATATAATAGCCAATCTTTGGTACAGACCACAGAGATGCACCTACCAATCACGAAAACAAAAACAACATACCGGTACAGCCAGAAGAAGATGGGCCACCCTCGGTGCCTGATTCCTCTCTAGGTTTCTTCCTAGATTTTTTCTAGTTGCTGTGCTGTTGCTTCTGTTTTGCTTGCTGTTTGGGGTTTAGGCCGGGTAACTGTAAAGTACTTTGTAACAGCTGCTGATGTAAAAACCAGCTTTATAAAATAAATGTGATTGACTGACTTAACAACAACAACAACAAGAGCGTTTTGGTATGGTTAAGCACCCACTTTTACAAGTACTCACAGTTTATTTAAATACCTTAGAAATGGCAGGAGGCACACAGGCTACGAGTTTCTGAAGCTATAATAAGCACCAGAGTTACAGATACATATTCATATCAACAGGAGAGTAACATATGTACAAATATAAATTAAATTAAAACACTTCTCAACCTCCTATGATGCTCTTAATATTTAATGCTGACTGTGATTGTATTCAATTAAAATGGTCTTCGACCCACAGGTAGGTAGGTAGGGATAACACTGGAAGATAACTGTAAAATAAAATTCATGCCTGCTTGAGATGAGTAGGTATGTTTCAGTCTAATATAATTGGCTTAAAATATTACAATAACATACTGTAGTGCAAGAGAAATACTGACTGACAGAATAAGAAATTGAACAGATTTTTTAAAATACACAATTCACATTCATGACTCCTTTGGTCCAAAGAGAATAAAAAGTAAGATGGGATATGCTGGCATAGCTATACAGACAGCTATGTCTTCGCAAAAGTCTTCAATTGACGAGGGTCCAATACCAAAACATTCTCTTTCCCCTATCCCTTGTTGACTCCCCCTCACAGATCTAAAAACACTGGATATGTATGAGAAACATATGCTGAAAAATGAAGGACATAGGCGAAGGGGTTGAAGGCAGAAATGGAACCAGGCCCAAGCCTATTTGACTGTTATGTCTCAGATCCAATCCTTGCAAATCTTCAAAGGGGCAATCAATGGGCTAAAGGGACCAGGGATGGGTTTGGAATCAAGCCTAATGCCATGTTGTACCTCATCACTCCAGGTATAGGTTGCCCTTAGGCACAGATACAGGATCAGCTTAGTGAGTTTAAGCTCCCTCAAGATTCTTACCTTGAAGAGACATTTCACTCATAAATAAAATGTCAGATGTTTTCAGACCTCTAAAGTATTCTAAGGAAACCACGTCACATGATATAGCTTGTGTAGATCCAGCTATCGTGGTTTATCTTGACATTAGACGACTTTAGAGGTCTGAAAATATCTGTCAAACTTTGATTTGAAAGTGTAATGTCCCTTTAACCATTGTGAGGGGAAATGGCTAGTGTCTAGGGGCATCCTGTACATCCACAGACAGGCTTTAGTGATTGCGGACGTTGAAGAACCCCACGCTTGTCGGCGACTCCTTCACTGTTACCGTGACGAAGTTGGCGGTGACATCAGTGACAAACACGTGTTCTAGAAGGCTCCGCGCTGGCCGCCAGTCCGTCTCCGTTTCCATCTCCATAGAGACCAGGCGGGCCCCGTTGTTGTTGTTGTCGGGATAGGGGGAGGAGTCGCACTCTTCTGATTCGCTGCTGCTGGTGTCGTCTGAGTCACCCGTGCTGAGCTCGTTAAGGGTCCGGGAGTTGTCGCCGCTCCGGGAGTTCCGGTCATTAACGGTAAGGCTCTGTCCTGACTTCCTGTCTTCCTGTCTCCCCCCGTTAGCTCCGCCTCTGCGGGCCGTGGACACGCCTCCCTGTGCCTGTACACTCCCCCCTTTCTCCACTCTTCCATTCCCCCTCCCTACACCCCCTAGTCCCTTGCTGTCCATCTCTCTCTCCGTCTCTGCCCCAGTGTCCTTCCCACTCTCCCCCCTCTCCTCTCTGGCTGGTGGAACGCTTCCAGAGTGCAGTGCCCCTCCCCCTAACCCTCCCGACGCCAGGCCCTGGTTCAGCCCAGACGAGGTGTGCGTCTCTTTAATGCTTCCCCCTGCTCCTTTTCCTGCCGGGCTGGCACTGCTTCTCAGGCTCAACCTCGAAACTGCAACTCCAGTGGTGCCGGAGGTTCCGTTTCCCTGGAGACCATTGCCGGGCGCAATTTTTTTGACGCTCTGCAGGTTGAGAGCTCGGAGGCTGAGGGCCTGACTGATGCGGTCTCTGGCCGAGGGAGGGGTAGGGGAGGTGGGTTTGGCTCCCTGCTGCTGAACCACCATTCCCGCCTGACCTCCAGGGCCCTCCTGCTGCCTCCTCTGCCCAGCTGGGAAGCGCTGAGCTGGGCTACATGCCGCCGGAGAGCCCCCGAACCCACTGGATGTCTTGGAGCTGTGGAGACAGAGTGATGTGGATACCCCTGGTTTTAGATACCCCCTTGATCCCTTCTGCTCTGCCACTGCTGGCGTCGGAGACAGAGAGGGAGCGCTTCAGCTCTGACGAGCCCTTACTGTAAGGCGGGGGAGGTCTGCTGAGAGAGGAAGCGGAGGATGGAGAGGATGGGGTGGCGGTGTTGGTCGACATGGAGCAACCTGACCATATGGAGTTCAGCGGCCCAGGTTTGGAGGCCCCTGCCTGGAAGAAGGCCCCTCCAGCAGCCCCCTGGGGTGCCACCTCATCTCTGGAGCCCCGGCTGGAGCTCAGGCCAGTGTAAGTGAAACTGGCTGGCTGCAGAGGCTTCTTCACCCCCCCTTGGGGTTCCTCTTTGAAGGGCTCGCGGGGGGGCCTGAGAACCTGGTGGTGGCGAGAAGGAGGAGGGGGCGGGAGGGGCGGCCGGGTCTTTGCCTGTCTCAAAGCCCTCAGCTCGGGGAGCAGCGGTTTTCTCCCGCGCTTTTTCCGGACGGGCTCATTCTTGGCCACCACAATTTGGGGCCTCTTCTGGGGGACGGGGTAGAGGTTGCGGAGGCGAGGACCCGGTTTTGCCTTCTTCCTGTGGTCTTCATCTTCCTCTTCTTCTTCTGAGGAAGAGGAGGAGGGAGAGGAGGACAGGCCGGATGAAGAGGAGGAGCGGTCAGATTTGGTTTCAGTTGGCTCTGGTTCCTAAAGACATGGAGAGAGAAAGGTTTGTACTGTACGCATGCATTATCATCCAAACAAACAAATGGATTCCTGCTACTGTTGTTGGTTGTAAATATAATGGATCAATCATTGAGAAGACATTACAAGTATAATTAACATGACAAAGGGAAGTTAATTTGCTGCATTTTGTTGTAGTGAGTCGTGACTACATCTTATATGTTTGAATAGCAGCAACAGTGTGATGATTACCAGAATTTTCCGTGGACGTCCCCTTGGCCTCTTCCCTCTCTTACGGAAGAGTAGGTCCCTCTCTTGCTCTCTGTAGAAGGTACACACATACATGGAGTCTGATACGGTCAGTGACAATGTTCTGTCTCTTTAAAAATGCATCCTTCCTTACTTGAAGAGACTATTGATCTAATAGCTGGATAAGTGAAAGTATGGGTTCTGTTTAATTGATTTAATCAATATGATTAAGTCAGATATAAGTGATTGCTTCAAGCATGGGAGGAAGGAAAGAAAGGAGGAAGGATGTATTTGACCAGGGCAGGTCTAATACACCATGTAGCTAACATTAAATATGAATGTGTTCTTTTCAAAACTGAACCGCTGTAGTATGATATTAATAACACACCTCTTATGGAAGGCAGCCAGTAATCTGGGGTCCAGAATATTCTCTTCAGGCTCCCAACTGTTATGTCTGTAAAGAAAACCCGACATTATAAAACAGTTTATTAGAGCACAGTAGAGAGACATTGCAAATATAATGTCAAACCATGAATTCTCTGTTCAGTTGCATCTAGTTTAAATGGGGGGTATCGCCTTTTTCAGATACAATGTCAGAAATAGTAGCATCATATCAAAAACAAACATAATTCACGTTGTGTCTAAATAAAATATTAAGAATATTTGCTGAATAATAGCAAATATTGAGAGGGTAGCTGTTCATCGTTTAGGGCTAGCGTAAAAGTGTAAATGGCTGAAACTGGAGCGTTTGCTCGGAGATTTACATTCAGCTACATCAAAGATGGTTTCGTTAAGCAACATTATTGGTAAACTGGTAAATCACGACGAAAGCACGGGTGCATGAAAATAGTGGGCGTTCCATATTCCGCTGCTACAGTTCGCTACCGTAGTAGGATGATGCCTGCTCACGTTACTGGATACCGATTTGGCACCGTAATATAAGCTGCTCGGGCTAAAGAAAATAAAGCAAGACACAGAAACGGCGAACACCATCGTCTTTCTTCCATGCATCATGCAGTCTATCCAAAGCCACGGGAACATTCTCCGATTGTAAATACTACGGATGTAAAATAAATCCTAGGTTGCAGGGGCTCAAGGGCTACATTGTTGTCATTGTTTAGCTCAGCCAGCTGCTTGCTAAATAGCTACTCACTTGGACGACCACCCTCTCCACTTCACCAAATACTCAAACTTCCCCTGCAAAGGAGACGATTGGGAAAAGCGTTAAACGATTGAACAGGGTCTAATGTTTTCATATTATGATAAGATACGTTATTTCATACCTTTCGTGGACGTTTGTTGAGGATGCATTCGGCGTCAAATACGTGCCCTACAGTTACCCCCTCCATTGCTACAGCCCCTCTCTCCTTTTTTATGAGAGGAAAAGCCGAACAGGGAGAAAATATTGCCCTCCAGCGGTATCCGTAGTTCGGCACCCGTGCCTCTAAAACGTCACTTTCACTTTTTCATTCTAGAGCGCATGTATAGTTTATTTTATTTATTTATTTGACCTTTATTTAAAGTATCACTGCATAAAGTGGTTTTAAGAGCCTCATTATTACAATGTTACAATTCTTATCCGGTATTTGCTAGGCTCCATTAAAGGCAAATACTTATCACATTTATAACTTGACAATAAGTTCTTATCCAACCATTCAACACTTGAGTATTACATTTCACACGCAATATATTTGTATAAGTAAAATATATAAAACCTTTCAGCACACTTCTCAGAATGTCACAGTGATCAAAGTTATTATGTCCATTTTAGAGCGACTTACAGTTAGTGCATTCATCTTAAGGTAGCTGGGTAAGACAACCACATATGTTATATCAGTCATAGTAGGTCAAACTTTTGCTTTTCCTATCAGCAAAGTCAGTGCCAGTAAGAAAAGACAAGTGCAAGTGTTTGTGCAAGAAAAAGGCAACCGTCTAATATTTCACTGTCCACTTCTGTGAGGACAACAACTCGTTTCTCCCCTGGGTTTTATTAGGCATCTGGTCGGCCCCTCCATTTGATGGGCCAGCCCCATGATTGGTCCTTTCAAACTTTGGTCGCTTGCCAGTGCTCTCTGATTCGCTCTACGCAGATGTCTGAAGCCACCTGTATCTCCCTAGCGAGTCCCGATAGGTCGAGGAAGCCATGTGGGAGGTCCTCCGCCACCCTCAGTGTCACTGGTTGGCCTATATCCCGCAGTTTCTTGGCGAACATCACAGAGTCATCCAACAACGCATCCAGTGCAGAGGCCTGTTGGGACAGACAGGGGAGTAAGAATGACAGGAAACTCGATGAGAGATTTAAGTGGAAAGACCATCCATAGTAAGGAGAGAGTTAGACCAGTGAACAAGGACATAATAGACCCACTGCAGTAAAACATGTGTATTCCTTTGCTTTCTTTATCTTTTCCATCCCTCTCAACGTATAAACCTGTCTTCCAAAATGTGTTGACTCCACCACACCCACCCCTTTACACTCCACCACACCCACCCCTTTACACTCCACCACACCCACCACACCCACCACACCCCACCCTTTACACTCCACCACACCCACCCCTTACACTCCCCACACCCACCCCTTACACTCCACCACACCCACCCCTTATAACACATCCCCCCCACCACCACACCCTCCACCCACACCCACCCCTTTACACGCCACCACCAACCCACCCCTTACACTACCCCACCACACCACCCCTTACACACACCACCCCTACCTCACCACACCCCCACACCCACCACACCCACCCCTTTACACTCCACACACACCCACCCCTTTACACGCCACCACACCCACCCCTTTACACTCCACACACCACCACACTCCACCACACCCACCCCTTTACACTCCACCACACCCACTCCTTTACACTCCACCACACCCACCCCTTTACACTCCACCACACCCACCCCTTTACACTCCACCACACCCACCCCTTTACACTCCACCACACCCACCCCTTTACACTCCACCACACCCACCCCTTTACACTCCACCACACCCACCCCTTTACACTCCCACCCTCCCAATACCCTCTCATTCCTTTCACTTCCTTCCTTCCTTCCTGTGTAGGTGTTGATACACTTGGAGATCACCCCTTAGGGCAGCAGGAGCAGAGAAGGCGGGAGGGCGAGGCATCAGTGGTGTGCAGGGTAGCAGGATATGCAGCCATAATACCATCCAGGATGCGCACACCGAAGGCTATGGCCCTTATGGACACAGTGATGCAGAGGTTCCCCCCAGCACTGTCCCCAGCCAGACACACACGCTCACTCGTGGAGCCTGGGGCAGAGTAATCAGTACCAGCTGGTCTGAGACAGACTAATACTGCAATAAAAGATGGAGGGACCTGCTGGGAAACAAAAGGCACCAAAGACAGGGAGATGGAGGGAGCTGCTGGGAGATGGAGGGAGCTGCTGGGAAACAAAAGGCACCAAAGACAGGGAGATGGAGGGAGCTGCTGGGAGATGGAGGGAGCTGCTGGGAAACAAAAGGCACCAAAGACAGGGAGATGGAGGGAGCTGCTGGGAAACAAAAGGCACCAAAGACAGGGAGATGGAGGGAGCTGCTGGGCACCAAACGGCACCAGACAGGGAGATGGAGGGAGCTGCTGGGCACCAAACGGCACCAGACAGGGAGATGGAGGGAGCTGCTGGGCACCAAACGGCACCAGACAGGGAGATGGAGGGAGCTGCTGGGCACCAAACGGCACCAGACAGGGAGATGGAGGGAGCTGCCGTACTAGAGAAGGCCCACAGCCCTTTACTGCCCTGAAGAAAGAAATAGAGAGAGAAAGAGGTTTGCATCCTAACTAAACAATGTTTACACTATGGTTGATAAAACAATGCAGCACAGTGATGAAAACATCAGATAATAAGCACTGAGGTAACAGCTGAGGGCTCACCTGTCCTGCTTGAAGCTCATAGGAGATGAGGTGCATGTTGACAGGTCCAGGGCTCCAGTGAGTCACCAGAGGGGGAAAAAGGGATAGAGACGGGGGTCTGAGACCAGGAGGAGGCGTAGTGGTTCAGGGGGTACGGCCATGGTGAGGTTAACCTGCACTAGGGTAGAAGTTATACTTGTCAAGCCCTGTGGAATGGAGGGATATAAAAAGATGGAGGACATTGTAAACGGTCAAAAAAGCAAAAAAAAACAAAAAGATGGAGAGATGGAGAGAGCAAGAAAAGAGAGTAAGTAGGAGAAACAGAGACAAGGAGAGACTGGAAGATAAGCAGTACAATTAGTTTACAGCCTCTTCCCCTCACCGATAGAAGCTCTGATTCTGTTACATTCCAGAAGGACTTCCAGAACTTAATGTCCAGGTTCTGGGTGATCAGCTCATTTATGCAGCAGCAAACAAAACATTTTTGGACTTAACTTGTTGTGCTGTGCTCACTTGAACAAGGTGGCGCGGCGGTCCTTCTTGTGGACAAATTCTGTCATCAAACTTTGTCATCAAAGTCTGTCATTCTCTGGATTTATGGTGCTTTCAAGACAACTGGGAACTCTAGAAAGAGGGCAGAGTTCCTGACTCGGAATTCCGAGTTGGATGACCGTTTAAAATCAGAGTTAGTTTTTATCAGAGTTCCCAGTTGTCTTGAACTCACTGATGTCTGAGATTTCCCAGTTCCGAGTTTCCATTTGTTTTGAATGCTGCAGAAGTCATGCTGGATTGACGGCATGGCCAATGAATTCAACCTTTCTGGCCCATGGTGTTGCATGTGAATGTTTATCCTTTTAAGCTTAAAAAATAGACCCTTAAAAACAGATTTGGACCCAAACCCTCTCCACTGAATAGCAGGCTAATGATTGCTTTGCAAATCTTGCAGTTAGCCACTGATTCCTTCCAAACCACTCATTGTTGAATTTGCGATTTCCAACTTGTTGTGTAATGTTTATCTCCAATGGCACCGATACATTTTATCTTTAATTTATCTTCATATGAAAAGGATTTGCCAGTAGATTGTCGACTTGATTCATGATGATGACTGCTTGTCTAGCTTGCTAGCTAAGATTTTGAAAGTATGATGTTGACATGATCAGTCCAATCAAAGCTACGGTAGATATAACGTGATTTGACGTCATTTTATCTGTGGCCAATGACCTTGAGCCTTCTTGGATGGGCACTTCTAATGAAACTCTATGGCAGCACCAAATGGGGTTTGAATTTTCAAGCTCTCCCTGTAGATTTTGCGGTGACATAGTGTCCCCATGAGTGACAGAACATTGAGCCAATGACGGCGCAACTAGAGAACATTACCAACCCCTAAGCTCTGTATTTTCCGCTGGCTGCCCCACCACCACAGAAAGCACTGAGGTAGGCTGAAACACCTGCATTTTGGAGCTGCTTTACTCAAGAAAGCAAAAAAGAGACCATGTTTGTATGTGGCTTTATTAACTCAATTATTATTATTTTTTACATTGTTTGCAAACTGATATGTGACACGTATTAATGCCAAAATAACATGCAAAACAGGCAACAACAACAACAACTAAAAATATATATATATTAATTTTTTTAGCTACACAGGTGGGGCTCTGCGCCAGCTGCCCTGAATGACGGGTCGCCACTGGAAGAGGCCCTACACGGTAGACAGTCAGTTATTTTGAGAACTAATATATATAGTTTCAATACTTCATACAGCCCAAAGAATTCACAGAGACTGAACTAACCCAGAATGCTCTCTCCAAACAAGACCATGCTTATGACTAACGACTGCAGGATCGGACGCAGGGAAGGTGAGAACTGGGGAGACAGAGGGAAATGTGGATTTCAGAATGATTTGTACCAAATACAATGCTCTTAGTTTTAAAGATGTTCAGGACCAGTTTATTAGTGGCCACCCATTCCAAAACAGACTGCAACTCTTTGTTAAGGTTTTCAGTGACTTCATTAGCTGTGGTTGCTGATGCGTATATGGTTGAATCATCAGCATACAGCTGCCCGGGTACACTAAGGTAACCTGCCTAAATGACTACCGACCCGTAGCACTCACATCTGTAGCCATGAAGTGCTTTGAAAGGCTGGTCATGGCTCACATCAACACCATTATCCCAGAAACCCTAGATTCACTCCAATTTGCATACCGCCCTAACAGATCCACAGATGATGCAATCTCTATTGCGCTCCACACTGCCCTTTCACACCTGGACAAAAGGAACACCTATGTGAGAATGCTATTCATTGACTACAGCTGCCCGGGACAGTTGTCATGGAGCATTCCCTGGGTGATGTAGAGGAGGGCCCGTAGCTGACACGGCCCTGCCGTAGGCTTCCATTTCTGAGGTGTTGTGGTCAGCCCTGAAGAAGGCCCCGTGGCAGTTAAAGGCATCCCTTGTTGATGA